ATTTTCTCTGGTAGTGTGTTTTAATATGTTGCTTTTTATTTTTAGTGGATCTATTATAGGTTTTTGTGTTGTGGTTACCATGAGGCTTACCAAAAACATATTATAGACATAGCAAGTTATTTTAAACAGATGACAGCTTATCTTAGATCACAAATTTAAAAACAGAAAGGCCAAAAAAACCCGCACATACACACATGCACGCGCGCACACACCCACCCACCAACACACACACACCAGTTCTACACTTTAACTCCATCCCCATTACATTTTGACTTAGTTGTCCTAATTTGCATATTTTAATATTACATATCTCTTCACAGATTGCTGTAGATATTACTGTTTTTGATAGGTTGTCTTTTGGGCTTCATACTAGAGTTATGATTGTGGTAGTAGTAGTACTACATTGCACACTGCAGGTACAGTAATTACAGTAAGAGTATTCTGGGTTTATTTATGTACTTGATTTTACCACTGAGTTTGAGACACTGAAAGGTTGTTTTTTATTTTTATTTTTTGCGCATCAGTGGTTTTTTATTTCAGATTGAAGAATTCTCTTTAGCATTTCTTTTAAGATGGGTCTGCTGGTGGTGAATTCTCTCTACTTTTGTTCTTTTGGGAAAGATTTGATCTCTCCTTTGTATTTGAATGATAATTTTGCTGGATTCTATATTCTTAGATGGCAGTTTTTTTCTTTGAGCAGTTTAAAGAGGTCATTCAACTCTTTCCTGGCCTGTGTGGGTTTTCTGTTGAGAACTCTGTTACCAGGCAATTTGGAGCTCCTTTACATGTTGTTTCTTTTTCTCTTGCTGCTTTTAGGATTCTGTCTTTGTTCTTGAGCTTTGAGAGTCTATTGCTTTGTGGTATTCTTATTTAGGTTGAATCTGTGTGATGTTCTCACACTTTCCTGTACTTGAATATTTATATCTTTCGCGAGGTTTGGAAAGTTTTCTGTGATTATTTCTTTGAATATGTTTTCTACCCTTTGCTCTTGCTCGGCTGCATCTTGAATACCAATAATTCTTAGGTTTGGTCTTTTGAGGTAATTTTCTGTATCTTGTATGCAGTCTTTGTTCTTTTTTGTTCTTTTTTCTTTTTTCTCTGTGTCTTTTCAAATAGCTGGTCTTTGAGCTCACTGAATCTCTCCTCTGCTTTGTTCAGTCTGCTAAGAGCCTCTAATGAGTTCTTCAGTTTACCAAATGTATTTCTCAGTTCTGATATTTCTGTTTGATTTCTTAAAAGTATTTCAATCTCTTTATCAAATATATCTGATACATTTGTGAATTGCTTTTCATTTTTATCTTGAGCTCATGAGTTTCCTTAAAATTGGTATTTTGAATTCTTAGCTCATAAATCGCCATCTTGTAGGGTTGGATTTTCCCTTGTCTTTTGGGGGAGGTCATAGTTTCCTGTTTGCTGTTGTTTCTTGTGGGTAGGTGTCTGTGTCTTTGTATGGAAGGATTAGTTTTTAATTCCAGTTTTCTCTGTCTTGTTTTGTTTTTTATTGGATATGTTTGCTTAGAAATTTTTTACCGCTCAGCCTCTGCCACCGCTTTGGCCCTAGGTGACCTTTAAACCCAGGTTTGCCTTGGCTCTAGTAAGCGATGGGAGTGCTGCTTGTTCTGAATGAGGGAAGTCCCAAAGGGATTCTCCTGGCAGTGTGAGATGGCTGACTAGGAGTTTGTGCCCAAGGGATCTGTGGAATGTGCCTTCTCCAGCGTGATGCTGCTGAACAGCCACTGTGATTCGGTGTCTTCTTTGGCCAAGTTACAGAGCAGAGTGTCCAGGACTAGGGCTGGTGGTCCCATCTCCCAACTTTTTCTCTGCGTGTTCTCGGGGATATTTCTCTCTTCAGGCAGTCACATCACTTCCTTCCCATGGGTTAAGGCAAGGACAGGTCTCCTGCAAGGAATCCCAGGAAGGTGAGAAAGCTGGTCGACCACCTCAGTCTCACTTTTCCAGTATCACTTTTCCACGAGTTGGGGGAGGATTTTCTGCACTTTTATTGCCGGGCAGAATCAGGGGGAGGGGCATCATGACTATGGAAGTCCAATTCTTCTTCCATCTGCATGGAGTTTTTCCACTTCTCCGTGGCCTCAGGATCTGTCTTGTCCTCATGTTTGAGTTCTGGGTTGTTGCTGGTGAAAATCTTGTGCTGTATATTTGTTTTAGGTTTTCTGCGGAGGAATGGGAGGAGGGAAACCAGCGCGCTTCTGTGCCACCATTTTAAAATGAATGTCGCAAGTTCTGCTTTAAACAATATTAATAATAACAATTATTTTCACTTTATAAATAGCTGCTTTGTCTGATCTCAGATGCTTTGTGATGGAGAGCAGGGAGATCCCATCCCAGCTTAGTAGACAAACCTTAGAAACTGTTGTAGCCATCATGGTTTTCTTTTACCTTTTCTTTTTGTGGAGGAATGATGATGGTAGTGTTTGGCTTTCTTTTTGTTTATTTTGTTTTTTTCATCTTCAAACATTTAAAATTACTAAAGTAAATGTTTGCCTTTTCTTCATTCTTTCCTTTTTACTCTGAAATGAAATAACATGAAAATGGCAGATAGTTATAGAAAAGTATGAATATCTATACCTAGACATGATTAAATATACTTTCTTTATCTTCTATAGTCAGATACAAAACAAGAGAAATGACACTAACAGGGAGAGATGACTGGCTGCAAAAGGCACAGACTTTGGAGTCTTGTCTCTTCTAGTCATTGTTTCACCATCTTCAGAGAACTCATGCAAGTCCCCAAGCCTCAGCTTCATCTACAAAATGAAGAGTTCAGAAAAGATAATTTCTGAGATTCTTCCACAAAATGCTTTTATTCAGACTAGGAAGCTAACTGTTGAAGGTAAAAGGAAGCCGATTTTGGTACATAGTGATGATTAGAACATGGGTTTGGCTGGATTTTGAATTCCATTCAAATCCATTGAATTTATGCCTCAAGAAAATTTCTTAGACTCCCCATGTCTCGCTTTCCTTATATGCAAATGAGGGTAATAGTACCCATACCATAGAGCTACTGTGAGGATTAAAAGAGGTTGAGGATTTGCTAAAATCCGATATTTAAAATTGGAACACATCATGTGACTATGATTGACATTTCATTTGAGGTACTTAGTCTGCTATTTTTAAGTTCTTAAAGTTTTTAAAAAAATATGTAAAGGCCTTAGTCACGGGTTCATGTTTCCGGTGTTCCCAGAAACAATGCCTATCCTTTGAATGTTGATGCCTTAAGATGCCTCTGGAATTGACATTTAAAGTAACCCAGAAGCTTATTCTCATACAGGTATTTTTATTTTAGTAAAGGAAAAGTGAAATTTTGTCTTCCCTGTTACATAGAAAATGTTGATTTCAGGTAAAATCTAAATAAAAATGTATTAATAGCTTCTAATGACCTTTGCCTATGAAGAGACAAAAATAAAACTTAAATGTACAAAATTTGTGTAAGTTATAAAGCACTTAACGAATGTGTTATTGTTGTTGATAATACAATACCATAGTAATCAAACTCTGTAAATTACCTCAAGGCTAAAATTAATGACAATTTTATGATTTTCTTGCACTTACTATTTTAATGCTTCGCTATAGAAAGACAGTGGTTAAATAAGTAGGACTGGGTTGCCAGAGCAGATTTTCTTTAGTTTCCTTTTTTTTTTTTTTTTTTAGCTAAAACTTGCCTTCTGAACTATTTTGGCCTTTAGAATTGGTTATTCAGTTTTTTGTTGCTTTCTTTTCATAAGCTCAGCAGATTGGTCTCTTTCAATTCTTAAGGAGTTCTCAAGACTTTGCCTTGAAATCCTGGGCAAGATAGAAGTGGAGGAGAGGAGTATATTAGCAATCTTTTGGATGGAAAACAAGATAGAAAATGACGATAAAGCAGAAATCTGTACCTAAAACCCAAAATAAATATACCCAAATACCTTTGTAATTATATTAGTGTTATAAAAATATAAAGTCTAATAGAAAAGTTAAGATGATAAACCATCAATACTGTCTTTACCTTTTGAGCCCATGAATTTTTAGCACCAGGCTGATAGTATGTTCATGGGAGGGGAAATTCCACGCTTATTTCAAAGCCCTAAACAGAATTTTGGTACATATCTTCCTTTGGACTGTCAGCATATATTTGCAGACTAGTGACAGTGGTGGCATGGCCCAAGGATTGAATTTGCAGTACTACCATTGGTGGCCATTTAATAGGTAGAAGATGGATGTACAGAGAGAATAGTTGGAGATCTGTGTGCACATTTCCAAAGAGATTGGTTTACGGGAGAATGTTACTGTTACTTAAGATGTCCTCTGCAGTTTTGTATCTAGCCTGGACTAGTCTGTTATGGTTTGAAAGCAGATTAAAGCTATTGGACAGATGTGATATGTTCTTACACTGGCTCGTTACAGTGAAGGGAAGCAGACATAGGGGATTACTTTGTGATGAATTTCAGTTCTGCTGACTTCATTGAATTGATTGAGAGCTAAATTAAACATTTTAACAGTTGTAAAAGTTAATACTGAAAAGATTAATACTTGAAGCTCTCCAAGCCTTAGAGTTTATCAGATATCTAGTATATGTAGGGATGAGGCAGTTATATAACAAGTTGTGGAGTATAGAAGGATCTGGTGAATTGAAAAAATAGAACATATAAGATGAAATCTAAACAGTACATTTTAGAGGCCTGTACTATCCTATCCTTTTTAAAAAGTCAAGAGTCAAGTATTCATTGTTTGCTTATTGAAATCTTGATAGCATTTGCTAACTCAGTGGTTCTAAAGTAAATCCTGGAGTTAAAATGAAATAAGGCCTTATTAATACATTTAAATGGCAAACAGTATTTAGGCAAATATTATAAATATCTGTATATTTATATCTAGTCCTAATATCCTAATTCAGTATCTCTCCTCTATGAAATAGAAAGCAGTTTTGTGCTATTGCATGAGCAATGCAATATTTATTTCCCATCTTGCAATGAAAACTGTTGATTGTTTGCTCTTCACAGGTCACTGACAAGGAACAGGAGTTTGCTGCCAGGGCTGCGAAACAGCTCGAATATCAGCAATTAGAAGACGATAAACTTTCTCAGAAATCATCTAGCAGTAAACTCTCTCGGTCTCCATTAAAGATTGCCAAAAAGCCTAAAAGCATGCAGTGCAAAGTGATACTTCTAGATGGATCAGAATATACCTGTGATGTAGAGGTAAGTGTGTGTCTTAAGACTTTTTTTGTCCTAGATATTGAGAGCTGGGGAATGTTGGTATAAAATATACAAGATGCCTCTTTATTTCTCTAGGACTCTGGGAAATTACTCAAACCCTGTCTCTAAATATAAAATTATTTCCTAGTCTCTAACGGGATCAGATTAAAAATATGTATAATGTCCCAAAATGTTACAACCAAAAGTAAAATGTGATCGTATATTTTTTAAAAGATAAAATCTCCAACAATATGGTAGGAACAACAAAAAAAAAACATTTGAAAGCTTTAAAAACAGACTTTAATATCCCGGCTGTGAGCTATTATTTGCATGAATTTTATCCTTTTTTTGCATAATTTATGGCCACGTCATTTGTTACTTGGTGGAAAGCTTACACATTCTGTACATAGGGGTGGTGGGATAATTTGGAAACGTCCATGACCTTCTCTTGCTTGGAGAATGAGTAATTTTTAAAATGCACATTGTGGTGGGCATTGAAGTTTCAGTGTAAAAGGGTATACTCTTTGTTCTTCTTTGTAAGGAAAACAGATTCCTCTCAGAGAAACGGCAGTTGAATGCCTTTTGTCAGAGATGTTTGTCAAGACCAAATTAGCAGATGAGAACACAACCTGTCTGGAGCTGCAGAGACAGCTGATTGTTGAGCTCTCTGAGTATGAGGGAGAATTCACACAGGGCATGAATTCAGGCTCTAGGAGCAGGTCTGTGTGTGCACCAAGATGGAGTGGCTTGCACTTTTAGCAAGGTGATTCCATTTCAGATGTGATGTCTTCATTCAAAGAGCTCATTCTTCCTGCCTCCAGCTCCTGCCCTTGTCATAAAGAGGGGAGGGTATCACACACATCTCCAAGCCAGCCCCTCTACCCTCTCATTCCACCATGCTTTCAAAGTCTACCCTTTCCTCAGGCTTGTGCTGAGACTCTGTCCCAGGCAGCACAGTCAGTGCACACGTGTGTGTCCTCACATATTTCTCTTCCTCGTCCCTCATGACAGCTAATACCAAGCCCATCTTATTTCCCATGTTCCCATTTACTCTGCTTCCTCTGTCTCCCAACCCCCATATAATTCCTGTTATGTTTTGTATAATGCACTCATGCACCCAGTGTTTTTCTTGGAACAGAAGATTCAAATCCATTTCACGCTGAATTCATTTAGGATGGGGATGAGAGGTGGGTTACTAAATTGTTACAGATTGCAGGAACATAGAAAAAAATCTATATGGTTTTTGAAAATAAAGTCTTAGTCAAAAATTATTTAGTCTGTTGTATACCAATTTATAGAAAATTTAGTCATCCTGTATCCTTATAAACATTGATGGGCCGCTGCAGGAATCCCCAAGGACCGTGCACAAAAGTATTTCTTGCCTTTTTCTGGCTTTGATTTTGTTTAATTTCTTAGACCAACGTGTCCAATTCCTCATCCAGATGTGTACCCTGGAAACAGGCAGCTCCAGTAATATACTTCTAACTGAGTTTTACTATGAAACTTACAGGACTTTTATAACCTTGAGAGATACTGTATTTTTTCAGTGTAGATGCATTTTCTGGAAAAATTGATCCAAGTCAAGAGAAACTTTTCCTCTTAACTTTGAGGAGAGTTTTTCTATTGATTGCATATATATAATGGAATAAATAGACTAAACTGGCCATCTTCGAGTCCTGGCTATCAGAGTCTTCCAAGAGTCTAGAAGAACGTTTATAGTGTTTCACATAGAGAGGATAATGCCTTCGGGTTGACCGAGGCACAAGTAGTATCGAACATTTTGTCAAATTTAATTTATGTCTGTGCTTCAGATTCATTATAGATAATCACTGTGGTTACAAATTTTTTATTTTATATTTACCTTTCTTTTAATGTCACTGTGAACATTTTTGAGTGGCACAGCAAACTTGGCCAGTAATTTTCCTCTATAATATATTATTTTTATACATTTGACAGATTCTTAAGAGTAACTTTTTTTCTGGGATATAAAAACTTTTGCTGGTAGAATTTTTTCAGTTTCACCACAGACATTGATATCAGGAAATACGTGTTCACGACTGACATCTTTGTGAAGAAGATGGAGAAATTTGGACACAGTAAAGTTCATGGATTAATTTGTAACCGATTGGTGGAATAAGAAAAATGAATTGTAAATCAAGCAGAGTGATTCTCAAGGAGGCAATGAGGTGCTAGTTAAAAAAAAAAAAAAAGAAAGAAACATGTTACAATGGCTCTTGTGTTTTGATAGAAACAATGGAAAGTAAAGTTTGGCTGGTGAGCTACACACGGGGCATACTAGGTAAACAGAGAAGGGAAAGCACTGTCCAGGGAAGGTGTGCTTCGGTGTTGGCTCTCCTTGAAACTGAGTCTGTATCAAAGACTTGATGAAAGCACAGAAACACAACTGAACAATTATTTTTTAAGCAATATAGAGCTTTAAAGCCTACATGGCTTATTTAAAGAGGTTGATGCCTCAAGTGTCAGAATCCAGTTTTATTATGAAATGGACAGTGTGGGACACTGAAGCAAAGCAGGAAAGCTGACATTTAGCAGGAGTGGAGGTAAAACTTTACTCTGATAAAAGGGATCAAGTACAAAATGGAAATGTGTTTGCGAGAGGGGCAGTCAGACTTGGTAACAGTTTGAGTAAAACTCATCTTTAGCTTTGAGTTCATTACAAACTCATCGTGAACCAACAGTGTGTTACAGTTGTCAAAAGCATTTTGTAATCACAGGCTGTTCCGTGGAAGCGTAGTGTTCGGTTTGCAGAAGGCAGCGAGCCATCCTGTTCCCTGCGTTGCACAGATCCTGCCTGCAGGGCTGTGTTTCAATCACATGCGATAAATGCTCTGAAGCCACCAGACTGGGGAGGGCTGTTGGTAACCCGTGTGGTTTCAAGGAACTTCCTTAAAGTTTCTGAACCTAGGTTTCCTCAACAGAAAGATGAGGGTGAAAATACTTGCCTTGAAAGGCATCATTGAGAAGATTAAAGCAAATAATTTATTTGAACACTTTCTGGGATGTAGCATATTCGTAATGGTCTGTGTTTGGTAATGATAATACGAACAATGGACTTTGACTTGAGCTTATTCAGCAAGAATTATAGGATGGTGAATGATCTGGAAACTTTCATATGAGGAATAGTTAGAGAAATAGGGTGTGTTAAATATGGAAAAAAAAAGATTGGTGTGGAGGACAGGAAAGCTATTCTCAGTTACTTGGAAAGGTGGAGACTGAAGGGTTATTGTAACTTTTATGTATAAAAAGCAAAACTAAGGTAGAAGTTACAGAAAGTCAGATTGTAAGTTAACAGGAAAATAATGTCTTTAACGATCGCTGTCAACCTTGTGATGACAGATGCATTACCATGGGAGGGCTCCTGTAGAAACTGTAGGTGCGATTATGGAAGCCACTGGTTCCTCAGATGCTGCCTCAGACCATACCACATCCAGTGCCCCTTCCTACTGCCACTGATGGACAGAAGAGGCATACAGACGCAAAAAAACCAGACTGAAAGAGGCGGAATTGTTTCCCTAATCCCTCTCTCCAGTATGTGGAGTTATAGATGAATTAAGAATGAAGGCGATGATAACAGATGAAACTTTTTTTTGCATTTAATAAGGCATCAAAAAGAGCATTTTATTTTCATAAAATTGTGATATTTTTCTCCATGGCATATTGAATGCCTTCATCACATCAACTTAAAATCATTAAGGGTCAACTCTGCCATGACGGTAACATGAGAATTTATAGGCACCTGTAAAAGACTCCCTGGCAACACACACACACACACACACACACACACACCACCACACACCACACACACACCACACACCCCACACCCCCCACACACACACCACACACACACCACACACACCACACACACACACCCACACACCACACACCACACACACCCACACACACCACACACACACCACACACACACACACCACACACACACCACACACACACACCACACACACACACCCCCACACACACCACACACCACACACCACCACACACACACACCACACACACACACCACACACCACACACACACACCCACACACACACCACACACCACACACCACACACCCCCACACACCACACACCACACCCACCACCACACACCACACACCCCCCACACACACACCACACACACACCCACACACACACACCACACCACACACCCCCACACACACACACCACACACACCACACACACACACACACCACACACACCACACACACACACCACACACACACACCCCACACACACCACACACACACCACACACCCACACACACACCACACACCACACACCCCACACCACACACCACCACACACACCACACACACACCACACACCACACACCCCACCACACACACCACACACACACACACACCACACACACACCACACACCACACACACACACACACACACCACACACCACACACAACCACACACACACCACACACACACCACACACCACACACCACACACACACCACACGCGCACACACCACACCACACACACACACCCCCCACACACACACCACACACACACACCACACACACACACCCCCCACACACACACACCACACACACACACCACACACACACCACACACACACCACACACACACACACCCCACACACACACACACCCCCCACACACCACACACACACACACACACCACACACCACACACACACACACCCCACACACACACACACATCCCACACACACCACACACACACACACCCCACACACCACACACACACACACCCCCCACACACCACACACACACACACCACACACCACACACACACACACCCCCACACACCACACACCCACACACACACACACACCACACACACACCACACACACACCCCACACACCACACACACCACACACCACACACACACACACACACACCACACACACCACACACACACACACCACACACACACCCACACACACACACACCCACACACACCACAC